CCCTCGCCCGTGAGTGCGGCCGGGCCGGGCGGGCGGGCGGCCGGCCCCTGCATGCAGCACTGCTGGCTCCGATCCAGCTTAGTGCCCACTGCAACCCCAGACCCTTTTCTGCAGAGCTGCTGCTGAGCCTGAAGTCTGGGAACAGGTCGTTTGGGCCTTTTTTTTAATTTTTAAGGATCAAAGTTGAGTCCTTCGTGTCATTCCCTGACTCCTGGCACTGGGGCTGTGCGAAAACCACAGAGAAGCAGGGCTGGACAAGGGCAGATTTCCAGCTTCGGCTTCCTCTGTGCGAAAACGAAGTTTATTTCCTACTTATGGGGACTTTCTGCCAAATTTAAACTTTCCCTGAACCTGATGAAGGGCATTTGGGTCTGAAAGCTGGCAGAAAAATACAATTTTTTTTTGTAGTTGCTTGGTTGGGCTGATAACAGGTATTGTCTCTGAACCAGTTGTTTTCCGGGGTGGCTTCCTCAGCGTCTGGAAGATGGCAGCGGCAGCACGGTGGTTCCCAAAGTTGTTTGAGACTCAGCGTTTCCCTTGGAAATATCGGCTCTGATTCCTGACGGCAGAAGCATCCTCAAGCCATTCTCGTGTTGCGAAGGATTGAGGAAAAACCTGTTGTGATCTTCTGGGGGGTCTCACATACTGGATTTCTGTCTGACATTTCTGGGTTTATCTTGGGAATCGTGTTTGCCTACTCAGCAGCGCCACCATTTTCTGGCATCCCTAAAAAGGGTCACAAGCCATCCAGGATGCTGTGGCCCCCTAGTTGAGTTTTGCTGTTGGAGAGGGGCGGGGGTGGCTCGTTCTGCACATGTCTTGCTTAAATGCTTCTTCTTTGCATCACAGCTGCTGCTGTGAGTGACGGGGTACTGGGCTACATGAGCATGTGTCCTGCCCTGATGTGTCATCTCATGTTTTACGCTGGGCTGTCAGGTCGTTGTCGGCGGTCCCTCGAAGACAAGGATGACATCCGTCAGGCTTGATGGGTCCTCAGGTGACTGAGGACCCTGATTCTGGATGCACATGTTCTTTGGCAATGGGGGCATGTTGTTGCACGGGGGAGTGGGATTTGCAGCCCCAGATTGGTCTTCTCCTTCCTCTGCTGCTGCCGTTCCACCTCGGCATCAAGTTGTTGAGCCTTGAAGTGGCATGTGCCATGGTGGACCAGGTGGCACCATGCCAAATGGTCATCAGCTTGTTCCTCCCAGCTATTGGTGTCAATGCCTCTGTGCTTGAGGGCAACCTTGAGTGTGTCTTTGTACCGTTTCCTTTGGCATTGGCCAGCAGAGAGCTGGGAGGAGAGAATCTGGTGAGGGAGGTGGTTCTCGGACATCAGGACACAGTGGCCCGTCCATCGGAGTTGATTTCTCAAAAGCAAGGCTTCAATGCTGGTGGGCGCAGCTTCATGGAAGATGCTCGCGCTGGTCCGGTGGTCCTCCTATTTGATCCCCAGGCATCTCATGTTTTACACTGGGCTCTGTCAGGTAGACAGTGGCTCTCTCCTCAGATCCTGAGATCACTGGAGGCAACTGATTAACCTTCTCTATCAACTTTGAAATGTTTCCTTGAGGGTTAAGCAGAGCCCAGATGCTTTAATGTTAAAAACGTGCCCCACAGATTTTATTCTGAGCACATCTCATGGCTGGAGTCTCAGGCTTTTATAGGAGATAAGCCTTTTATCACTTGATCACTAGAATTGTTAAACTTTTCCCAAAATTTCCATGCACATTGACCTTTGGGCAGAAACCACATGTGGCTTTGGGCAAACAAGTGCTTTGCAAACAAATGTTATGATTTATTTAAGAGAGTTAAAAGAAACAGGAAATTGTCTTTTAATATAGGGTGCCATCAGCAAAGGGAATCGCAGCAGCTGAACGCTTCCGTGCAGGAGGAGTCAAGTCGATTACTCACTGCAGTTGTAAGGACAGCAGGGGATTTTATTCAGGCAATGCTAGCTCCAGGTCTGGTAGTGGCCAGACAAGCATCATGATAAACCACAGCCTAATTGGCTCACCTGGTTTTCGGCCTGATTGGCTCACTTGGTTACAGAAACAGCAGCTTAATACACCTCTGGCACTAATGATCTCATTTGCATTGGCAGTATTTAGTCTTCACAATTTAGAAACCCTTGAGGCATTTCAGTGGTATAGCAAGTCTGGCAAGTGACAACTAACTTTTTATTCTGCACTTTTATCCTTTACACATTCTTATTTCAAACCTCTCTCTAGTCCGAGTCAAGAGAATCCCTACTTGCAAGGAGGAGAACTTCAGATGACTTCTGGCTCTTAAGAAGTCACTCTTCTGAGGCTGAGAATGAGCAGGATGTGCAGGTACCAGAACACGTGAGCAGCTCAGCACCTGTACATCTTGACAAGGAAAGGGGGCATGTGAAATGCACAACTTTACATGGGATGACTCCTTTATCTATGTAGTTGGATGACTCAGTGAGAGACTGTGTAATCATGTGTAAAGTTGCTGGGTTAAAAGTGCCGCCCATGCCTGTGTAGTATTTACAGGAGCCTTGCCTACCTTTCCATGGGATGAGGGTAGTAGAAACAGGATGCTTAATTGTAGTGCAAAGACGCTTCTTAGCAGTATGTCTGCACTTATCTGTCCCTGGTCTATGTTCAAGCAGTTGTTCCTGCCCTTTTACTTCATGCACTGAACAATAACAGCAACATTATGTGCATGTAGGTGGGTAGCTACATTTTCTGTACAGGTGGCACAAACATGCACACTTAGGCTAGGGACAGAAGTTACACATAAACTGGTTTAAGTGATTAGAAACTGGTTCAAACCTGTAACAAAACAGAAGTTCAGTGCACAGAAACTGCTTTCAAAATGGCCAAAACTGGTTTAAGATAAACCTGGTCGAATGTAATATCAGATTTAACTGATTTAGGTAAAAAAAAAAATCATTTTTTTGGGGGAACTTCTGTTCCAGACCTTAGGAAATGTGCAATTAAGGGTCTAACCTTGAAACCTATGGTTGGGTGTCACTTCAGAGTATGTGTGACTGGATATTGCTTGGTTTGTGACCTGAGGCTTTGGCAGGGCTGGAGCTTCATTTTAATACCTGTTTGTCAGTTGTTTGTTGAAATCCCCAGAGATATCTAAGAAGGGAGCTTAGTTGATTAGTTGTCCAGTTACTTAAACTCGTCTAAAGGGACCCACACAAAAAAAGTCCTACATTACTTTAATGTTTAATCATCAGATAGTGTTGGTTGGTGTGGGGTGGGGAGTGTTATTTATTACCTATGTGAAACTAAGTAGCTTGTTGAAAACCCCATCTGTTGACTTTTAAATCTTCCCTGTTTTTTTCTGATGTGTTCCTCTTATTGGAAAGTGATTTCCTTTTATTGATGTCATTTATTTTTTTTGCCAGTGAAGATGACGTACTAGTCAGATGTTTTCCTTATTTTAACTTTGTCCCAGGAAATCCCATCATCTGTGTATGAGAAGGACCAAAAACTAAGCACTTTCAGCAGGACAAAATCTTCACATATTTGGCAGGACCCGTGGACCCCCCTGCAGGTACACAGGATATTTTTCTCTTGTAGAGGAAATACCCAAGGGCAGCATCTTGCTTGATTTCTGATATTTGTGTTTTTTATCCTCCTCATCCATCTGTCCTCACTTTTTCATTTTATCTAGATTTACACACAGAAATTAGGGGGCATTTTCATAGTTGTGAGTGTGTTTAATGTTCTTTACATATACAAGTAGCATATTGCAAAGTTCCCTCAATTTCATTGCTCATCCCTAACAGTTGCCAATAAAAACACAGGGGAAAATCCTACCTTGCCCTACTCTACATTTCCCCTCTTTCTAAAAGGGAGGAGACATTGTCTCTACAGTGTGCTCAGCAGATCCAGGCTGTTTGGGTCCCATGGAAAAAAGTTCCAGAGTTTAGACCTTTTATGGGAGTGCTATACATAGGCCTTAGTTTAAATCATGGGCCCAGCTTGTGAATATTGTGGCCTGATTGTGGTGGGGGCTGCCATTGTCATAATGTTTCCCCCACCCCCGTGATTGACTGAGAGGCCAGGTTTAGGGTCATCTGGCTGGCTGAGTCCGGCCCCCAGTGCCAGGCTGGGAGATGGGATCAGGAGTGTCCTGGGGTGGGGATAAAGGGTTGCAAGACAGGTGTAGGGGGGTTGGAGTGGGGGTGGCATTGCTTGCGTTTGGGGGGCTGCTTCTGCAGAGGGTAGCATCGGGGTCCCCTGCAGCTCAGGGGCTCTGGCACCTGCTAGCAGCTTGCTCTCTGGCTGTGGGAGATGCAGGCAAGCTGCAGGAGGGATCAAACTGAGCCAAGATTAAACGTAAACTCTCAGAAATGTTGTGTAGTAGATAGATCTGTGAGACTGACAAGTGTGTTCCCCAAGCAACGAAAAGGAAGCTTCATAGCCTGGATAGCTTAAAGTGAGTGGGACAAAATAATGCAAACTGTTCCCTGTGGTTTAATCTTGTGCTGTATTTGGGAGAACGGACATCATGAACTAACTGGGATAGTAACCCCCAGGCCAGAACATTAATAAGTAGCTGCTGAGAATGAGGTACCATATTTTGATACTTACTTAATTTACCTGAGTTTCCAAAATGCTGAGCACCCTCATAGTTTCATAGTTGGTAGGGTCAGAAGGGACCTGAGCAGATCATCAAGTCCAACACCCTGTCACAGGCAGGAAAGAGCGCTGGGGTCAGACAACTCCAGCAAGGTGTCTATCTAGCCTCCTCTTAAAGACCCCCAGGGTAGGAGCTAGGACCACTTCCCTTGGAAGTTGGTTCCAGATCCTAGCTGCCCTGACTGTGAAGAAGTGCCTCCTGATATCTAGTCCGAATCTGCTCTCTGTCAGCTTATGGCCGTTGTTCCTTGTTACTCCCGGTAGTGCTCAGGGGAACAGGGACTCTCCCATTGCCTGCTGGTCTCCCTTGGCCAGTTTATAGATGGCCACTAGATCCCCCCTCAGCCTTCTCTTGTGGAGGCTGAACAGGTTCAGGTCCTGTAGCCTCTCCTCGTAGGGCCTGCCCTGCTGCCCCCGATCATGCGACTGGCCCTCCTCTGGACCCTCTCCATGCTGTCCACATCCCTTCTGAAGTGCGGCACCCAGAACTGCACGCAGTACGCCAACTGCGGCCTGACCAGTGTCACATAGAAGGGGAGGATCACCTCCTTGGACCTGCTTGAGATGCATCTGTGGATGCATGACAAGGTGCGGTTAGCCTTCCTGACTGCATCCCCACACTGCTGGCCCATGTTCATCTTTGAGTCAGTGATGACTACAAGATCCTTTTCTGCCTCTGCACTGATGAAAAGGGAGTTCCCCAGCCTGTAGGTATGGTGCTGGTTCTTCCTCCCCAGGTGCAGCACCTTGCACCTTGTCAGTGTTGAAACCCATCCTATTCTCATCCACCCACCTCTGTAACCTGTCCAGATCTGATTGCAGCTTGTCCCTCCCCTCAACTCCATTTGGAGTCACCAGAGAAATAAGGCTGCATCGCATCCAGTGTCTCTAAAGTTACAGTCTTCAAAAGTTTGCAGCTTGAGACTCTCATTTTTCTTAGTCTTAGAGAGAAAGGCTAGTACCTACAGCAGTTGATTTCCTAACAGCCTTATCTCTTTCTATTTTCTTTATTAATAAGCTATTGTCCCTATCCATTTCCCATGTGGCAGTGTACCACTGCAGTGCATATACTTGAAGCAGGAAATGTACTCCCTCCCCTGTCCAGGGTAAGGCATAAGGCCAGTAAAGATCTCATGATCATTTCTTTAAGAATGGGGTGTCAACCTGGTGCTCTGCCAAACACCAATTAAAGTTCTGTGCAACTGAGTTTGCCCCTGTTTTAGCTGAATGAGGTATTCTTTACCTCCTACACTAAAATACCCCTTTAGCAGGGCTAAGCTGGTGCTTCATTGTACTGTAATACTACCATCTTTACTTACCTAGCATAGTCACCTTTTCCCTAAAAATTAGCCCTCCAAAATTGGGGTGCATGTCTTCAGTGGGAAATGTAACTTTTTGTGTTGTAATGGCTGCTCAGGCAGTCCTCCTATCCCAGCCAGGGAGGGAGGGGCAGAGTATACAGTTCATTGTTGAAAGTAGTTATAACCCTCACAACCACCCATGAATTGGCAGCAGCTTTTGGCAGAGCAGTCAACAGCTGTTGCAACAGCTGCAAGAAGGTTCAGACCATAGCTTTTGCCTGAACAGCGCTGTTCTTGGTTCAACCATGTGGTCAGTATTCCCTGCTATCAGGTTTCAGCCATGACTGAAATAATGTTTTGGTAAGGCAGAAGTAAGAAAAGAAGTGTGTGTGTGGTTTCTAGTGGAATTTGATTTTTGGTACCTGGATGGAGGGAAGAACAATGGAATTTTGTGAAAGATGATTTTCATTCTGTTAAACTTTGCAGAAGGCCTGCTCATCTCTGGATTCTGGAAAGAAGAAAGCTACCAGAGATTGGCTAACACAGAAACATGTTTCTCTTGCGCAGGTAAGACAAAAATGCATTTGGCCATTTTGGGGTTGGGTTTTTTTTTGCTTGTTTTTTTTTTTTTAAATCACTACACTCCAAAATACAGTGTACAAAAAACCATAAACTGCTATGCACCTTTGGGAAGGGGAAGAAAAAGATATAAAATGAGAAGTGGAAAGGTAAGTAAGACTGTGAGCATCTGTTTGAAATGTCAAACTTCCTTGCAGCTGGGGTTTCAAGCCCCAGTGGGGCAGTTCTCTGCATTTTGAGTATTTTAGATAAGATCTTAAAAATAATCTGTCTGCAGAATAATAACTAGCAAGTTTTGTCCCTCAGGGAAAACCCTGCTAGTGTGCTCTGGTGGGGGCAATCTTACCTGCCCCAGGGACTCAATGTTCCTGGTTGCTGCTGCTGTGGTGCCATCTTCCCACTGCAGATTACTGCTGTTGCTGCTGCAGCAGTGGCAGGGGGTCCATGCTGCTGGCCACTACTCCATTAATGTGGTGGGGCTGCTGCTGCTACTGTACAGACTCTTGCAAGAAGATACCATTCTGGCTGTTGGGAACATCTTGCATGGAACTAAAATTAGTTTAAACTTTGTTTTTATTGGCTTAGTTTATGTGGACTGATGACAAACTTAAATTAAGCTAGTCAAAGCAATGTTTAAACCATTTTCAGCATGTTTACACTGGCAGTTACAGGGGTGGAGGTTATAGCTGTGTTGGTCTAAGGACATAGGTAGACAGGGTTCTTTGGGTGAATCTGACATCTTTTATTAGACCAACTTAAATAGTTGGAAAACAAATTTTAGGAAGCTTTCGGGTTTAAAAAAAGAAAAGGGATCCAGACCATGCCATGACAAAAAATGCAAAACCTACCAACATATCTCCACCACCCCCACAATGACTACATCCCACAACAGAGCATCCCTGCATCTTACAGCTGCACCTCCAGAAATGTAATACATGTCATCCAATGCACGAAATGCCCTAATGGAAAATACGTAGGAGAGACCAAACAACAACTTTAAGAAGAGGCTGGATGCCTACCTGGCTGGACTCATTTGAGTCCCGTTTCTCTTTTTGGGGTTTTTTTGTTGTTCTCCCGCCCTGGCG